CAATAACATCAACAACAACATCAACAACAACAGGTTCGTGACGGATGCCTGGGTTAATGAAAACCAAACGCGATCTATTCCTATTCAAGATAACATCAGCAGCAACTGCAAGGACTTTAATAAAACATTTCTACAAAAATTTAATTCTAATCCTATGAACATTTTACAACAACAACACCAACTACAACCACAACTTCAACAACAACAACAACCACAACAGCAACAACATCAACAATATCAACAACATCAACAACAACAACAGCATGAACAACAAATATCAACACCCAAAATATTAAGCTGGAGATCGCAACTACCAACGCCCACAACAAAACTATCCGCAAAAACATTAACATCGTTGCGAAACTTCCCAACAACAACATTTCAACAAAACAAAAACATCAACAACAACAAAAACATCAATAACAACAACAACATCAACAAAAACATCAACAACGATTTCTACCAGCAAAAAACCGTTTCAGCACCTGTAGTTCTGCATAGGGGAGGTAATAACAACAAAATCAACAACATCAAAAAAAACATCAACAACAACACCCTCATCAAGCACAACGACAACAACAACAACGACAACAACAACAACGTCCAACATCTACCTCCAATCTCTCACAACAACTTCTTTTCTAGTGGTAGCTTTGTCAGCTCTAACAGAAAAAACACTAACAACAACTACGATACTAACAACAATAACAGCAGCAACAACAACAATAATAATAATAACAAAAATATTACGATAAAAAATGGAGCTATCTTAAGTTCAATAAGATTTAATAGAAAAAATTCAAGTCTTCCTAACTTAGACCAACGTCATCAGCAACAAAACCAGCAGCAGCAGCAGCAACAACAACAACAACAACAATATTCACAACGCGATTTACAAAAATTTGTCGATCAACAGATATTGTTGAAACAGCTGGAACAACAAGAGCTAATTGAAATGCAGCAACAGTTGATTTTACAACAGCAGCAGCAGCAACAGCAACAACTACAGCAACAGCAACGACAGCAGCAACAGCAGCAACGACAGCAGCAACAACAACCACAGCAGCAGCAACAACCGCAGTCAAGATTCAAACCGGTCAAAAAGATGAACTCAACTGATAACTCTCAATTACTAATTAATGACGATAGCATCAAAAGTCTAAACAAAAACTTCAACATCAACAACAACGACATCAAAAACATCAACGACACTAACATTAGCAACGTTAACGATGACAACAACAACAATTACGACGTTCCCTTTCCTGACTTCATAGAGGTATATTAAAATTAAAATAACTTAATACAAAACACACCTAAATACACACACACACAAACACATACACATACAAACACATACACGTACATACACAAAGAACACACACACACACACACGTACACAAATACGCAGCCATCTCCGTCGGTAAATACCGAATACCGTTTGTATACCGTCAAAGACTACAAGGCGCTGAAAGTAGAGATGTCACAAGGTATAAATACCGGCTCGCTAGGTCCCGATTTATACAGCGATGATTACAGGAAAAAGGTTGTACGTTCGGATGATTGATTGATTGACTGATTGAATAAAGAGATTGATGAATGAATTGATGGATGGATAAATGAATTAATGAATGAATAAACGAATGAACGAACGAACGAACGAATGATAAAACGAAATATCAAATAAAAGAAAGAAAGAACGAATAATTAAATGATTGAATGGTTAATTTATCATCATTGTAGCTATCATTTGCATTCACCATCGTCATTATCGTCGTCGTCGTCATCATTTTCGTTATCTAGAAAGAAAAATTACTGAAACTGAAAGAATATGCCAAAATGGTTTCGGCCAAAAATATGCGGGAAATAAGCAAAAAATCAGAGACAAGAATTGAACCATCGTCAACAACTTTAACAACTACAACATCAACAACAACAACAACAACAACAACATCATCAACAACAACACCAACGGTCAAACCCTCAATAAAGGCAACATCATCATTGTCGTCGTTATCATTTCGTGGAATCCAAACCCAAGATACTAATGTAGAGAAGAGGAAATTGGTTGGGAATGTATATGTTTGTTTGTATGTTTGTTTGTTTGTATGTTTGTTTGTTTGTATGTATGTATGTATGTGTGCGTGCGTATGTACGAGTGCATGTACTTGTTTCGTAAGTACGTGCGTGTGTGTATGTGTGTGTGTGTTTGTGTGTGTGTGTGTGTGTACGTGAGTGTATAATGTTAATTCTGATTCACACAGGCCTTAGAGTACGCTAAAACAGTGCCTAAACCTAGACCGAGGTATATAATGATGATGACGACGACCATGATGATGTGATGATAATAATAATGATAATAATTATTATTATGGTAATAATTTTAATGATAATAATAATTTCACAATTTCTGAAGAATTAAAAATGACGTAGATTCAAATCAGCGTCAAATGTCAGTACAGCCCGACGGTAAGTTACTAGCAATTATAAAAAAAAGGTTAAAAATACCAAAGAAATATTTATTTCAATGAAACTAATTATATATAATAAGTATAATAATTATAGGTAAAATTAATTATTTTATTACTCCTTGATGTATGTATGCTTTTTTTTAGAATTTTATAAAAGTTTTTTGGAAAAATGTTTTTATTGCAGGCTGGCAAAATGAAGCAAGTTTAGGCTTGGAATCATTGGAATATCTGCAGAAAAGACACCTGCAAGATAAAGAAAAACTTACAAATCTATTGAATAGATGATGTTACTACTGCTACTACTACTACTTCTACTGCTATTACTACTACTGCTACTGCTACTACTACTACTACTACTACTACTTCTACTGCTACTACTACTACTGCTACTGCTACTACTGCTACTACTACTGCTGCTGCTGCTTCTACTACTGCTGCTACTACTACTAATGTTACTATTACTACTATACTACTACAACTAATTACTACTAATATTGCTACGACCCATCAATTTAAATTTTAACCTGAATTCCTTTTCAATCTTTGATGAATAAATCCCCTGACTTGTGTTTATCAGTTTCTCTCAGAAAAAATTCACCGAAGGATGTGATCGACTGAATGAACAAATGAGTGAACGAATGAATGAACATAATATTTAATTAGTGAAAGTTTTTAATGAATTAATGAATGAATGAAAGACTGGGTAAATGACTAATTAAATGAATGAATAAATGGATGAGAGGATGACTAGCTGAATAATGGATGGATGAATATGTGTAGGAATGAACGAACAAACGAATGAATGAATAAATAAACGAATGAATGAATAACGAAATGAATGAAAGAATAGTCAAACGATTGATCGCTTAACTATTATTCAATCACTCAATTAACTTTCATAAATAAATGAATGAATGAATACAAAAAAACGCGCCATTGCTAACAGTTGTTTGTTTGGTGTTTATGAAAAATTTGAAACATTCACAATATATTTATTAAAAAAAGTATTATTTATGTACTAATTATTATTATTATTAAATAAGACTACTATTTAATATTTAATAGAATGAGATGAATAAATTTGCATTTTTACGGATTTCGATAGTTTTTCTCTTGTTAGCTCTCAATTCGGCTTCGGCGTCGACTAGATCTAGGAGTAAGAGTTCTTTAATCACCAACGTCATCAATATCGTCATCTATATCACCACCATCACCGCCCCACCATCATCATCAATATCACCACCACCATCATCATCATCAGTATACATGAACCAGTTACTTGGGTGTTACAAGGAGACCCAAGAGTTCGACGAATACGCAGCCAACGCCAAATTAGGGCGAAGGTTAAAGTTCGGCATCGAAGACTGCATGGACCACTGTCTCAACCTCGATAGTATCATTGCCGGCATGAATGTAAGTTGAGCGCTATATCAATTTAAATACTGATAATCTCTATTATAATGATAATGGTTTGAATGATAACGACGAAGGTAATAATGATGTTTTCGTTTTTATATATAACTTAATCCAATAAAACCTAAAAATGATAAGTGAACTAACCAATCAACCAAGTTAATGAACCAACCAACCAGCCATTCAACCAACCAATCATTCAACCAACCAATCATTCAACCAACCAATTATTCAACTAACCAATCATTCAACCAACCGACCAATCCACTGACCAATCCACTGACCAATCCACTGACCAATCCACTGACCTATCCACTGACCAATCAGGATGACGGGTCCTGTTTATGTAATGACGAAAATTTTGACATCGAGGGCCGCCGTAGTTTGGCCCTCTGTAACGTCAGGTGCGCCAACAAGACCATCCTGAGTTGCGGGGGCAATTATGTGTTTCATGCATACTTTAGAAGTACTTTGATTATTTATTTGTTTGTTTGTCCTGTTGTTTGTTCGTTCGTTCGTTCGTTCTTTTTTTAGTGTTTTCAGATGATTACTTTTCACGTTTAATGTTAAGTAACATTTGCTTTACCATGCGAAATTGAGTGGGTGAATGAATGAATGATTGATTGATTGAATAAATGAATGAATGAATGAACGAACGAATGAATGAATGAACGAATGAATGATTTAAATTTCAATTCAAATAATTTTTAAAACAATTCAACAAAAAACTACCACCCCACCCACCCAGCTTGCCCGCTCTTTTTCTACGGTCCGGATTGCAGTAAATTTTGTTACTGCAAATCTTCCATCTGCTATCCCATGAGCGGGAAGTGCTTGGGACTGGGATGTCTAGAGGGATATAAGGATACTTCCATGTTTCCGCATTACTCTTACTGTTTCGAGAAAAGTTTGTTACTGCTGTTAAATAGAGGAGAGAGAGAGAGAGAGAGAGAGAGAGAGAGAGAGAGAGAGAGAGAGAATTAATAAAATATTATTAATAGTATTATAATAAAATAGTAACATTTATAATAATGGTAGTGGTAAAAATTATTCCACTTATTGTTATTGTTGTTTTTTTTGTTAACCAACAAATCAGCTAATCAACCGACCAACCAA